AAAAAATAGCATCAACCTACGTGTGTGTGTGTATATATATATATATATATATATATATATATATATATATATATGTATGTATGTGTGTCAAACTGATTAAATTTATAATTTATAGTTGAATGTTACATCTTATTTTAATAGTATACAACTATTAAAAAATAAACTTACAAACGAATATGTTGCAACCGTAATCGCGACGGGACGACGATTCAAAATTTTATTTATCCGGACGAAATTGGATATTGACAGAATAAAAAGAAAAAATTATCAAAGAGAATATATACAAAAAGTACTATTACACCAAATCAAAAGCCTACAACTATTTTGCAAAATTTAATTTACAAAAAATCTAACTCTAAACTTTAGCATCACTCCAACACTGAATCAACTAGAACATCTTCATATGCTCACACCACTAAGATAATTATTACAAACAATAAACACACAAGCAGACAAACAAAAAAGAAATGGTAACTAATGTACTAAAAACAATTATATATATGAAGTTTATAGAAGTACACATATAACACAAATAAATCAATAAATCCTAAGACATACAATCCTTCCCTGTAGACCTAACCATCCAGATACATGTATTGATATCAAACTCTAGGGGTCCTGCACCCGGTGGCGATAACGCAACTTGCCCACACATACTACCACACACCGAGGTTAATCCGTCAAACATCTATGACCAAGAAATAACCATAGACTAAGGACCTTCTGCTACTCTTCACGACATAATCATTCTTCTTTACTTGAGATTGAAAGTTATTAAGAGTGTCCAAATAACCTTAATACAGAGCAACCTATATCAATACATACACTACACATAACCATCTTAAGGATTTCTCCTTGAACTCCTTACAATATCATATACAATCTCATCACATACCACATGTAATCATATCCACCTGCATCATCCATTAAACCTAAAAAAAAACTTCAATATAAACAAGGATGAAAATTCTATACAACATATTTTAAACAAACAAATTATAGAAAACAATCACAATTCTATTACAACAGGGATCACTCAATGAGCAAGATCCCTCGCCCAACGAATTACTAAGAAAAAAAATAAGAAGTAGACCTACAAGGAGAAGTGGCGTTCAACGCCCTAAATAATTGCTAAGTGACCAAAAAGTCAGAGAGCTCACTAACTTCGTAGCACTTAGCGCCCATATAGACGCTCAAGCATGGAGCCCAATGGCTTTTGGGTTTGGTAGCGCTTAACACCACACAATGTCGCTCAATGCTATACTAGAAGACAATGACTTTGAAACTTGATTTGGATGCACTCAAGACTTATTCAAATATTGGAAAAGTTCTAAAAGCAAGAAAGGAAAAACTCTTATACCAAGATAGTTTAAGGTATTGAATTGTCTCTTTCCATTTATCATGTGTATGTTTATATAAAAAAAAATAACCTACAATTGTGCTCATAAATACAAATATTATTCTAA